AAGGGGGCAGGGAGTGGTGACCAGAGCTTGGGTGAGGTACGCCACACGGCAAAGCACAGAGGAGGGGTCGTGCAAAACAGGCCGGTTAAGGGGCCAGGCAAAGGGTGACGCAGCAGTCGCTGCATGACTGTGCAGAACCCTGTGCTACTTCTTGTCCTTGTGAGCTCCCTGTGGGCGTGAGGCCACCACAACTGGGGAGGCGCTCACCACAGGGCGAGCCGCCTGAAGAAGGAGCGGCTGTTGATGAGCGCCCAGCTGCGGCCCAGAGACAGCGCCGCGTTCAGCGGGTGCGTCCGAGGGTGCGCGGCGCGGCGCTGGCGGCCTGGGGGTTGTGGTCAGACGCGCGGCCGTGTAAGAGCAGGGTGCGGTGGGCGGCCTGGGATGCGATACAGCAAACGCGAGACAACAAGGCGGGCCCGGCAAAAGTGACGTCAAATTTGCACAACACAAGCTGAGAAGAGAGGCAAAGCTAGCACAATCACACACAAGTGTTATTCTGCTACAAGCCGAGCCAGACCTGCCACAGCAGTGCACCCGAATCCCGGCCAAGCGCTCACCCAGCGCCGCGACCGCGGGTGGCAGCGACTCGGGCACCGCCAGCGCAACCGCCGCCGCGCAGCCCGCCGTCGCCGCGAGCGCCAGCAGCGCGGCCGACCGCGCGCTCAGCGCGGCGCCGGCCACGGGGCCGGCCACGAAGCCGAGGGAGAAGGCCGCGATTATGAGGCCGAAGCCGGCGGTGCGGTGGCGCGCGGGCAGCTTGTCCGCGCAGTATGACAGGCAAACGACGATGGCCGACACGACGCCAGACACAGCCGAGGCAGGGTAGTATAAAAGGAGGAGGTCGCCTGGGCTGGGGACGGTCAGGTGGGCGACGACGACCGCGGAGGGCAGGAGGGCGAGCACGAACGCGGCGACGAGGAAGGGCTTGCGGCCGTAGCGGTCCGAGGCGTCGCCGACGAGGGGCTGGAAGAGGAACGAGACTACTGAGTTCGACACGAACGAGGTTAGGGACGACCACTGGACGACCTGGGGGGTGCGGGGAGGGGGGCGTGGCGGGGCGCTGAGGTGGAGAGAGCGCGCGCCAGAGGAGGGTGTGTGTGCAGGCCCAGGTTTGTGATCGAGGGGGAGGCGGGCAGGCGGGGAGGGGCCCGAGCGAGCGCAGCGGCTCGGCTGCGACGCACGCGGCTTTCCCTGCAAGGAGGGCGAGCCGCGTCGAGCGATGCACACGGGGCGGGCCCCAGAAGGATGGAGCGACGCGCGGGGCGCGGCCCCAACCTGCGCGTGCGCGTCCACGCAGGCCGGCAGCTCCGGCGTCGCCTCGCAGTCCACGGACTGACGCGCTAATCGCGACGCGAAGAAGTTGGTGAAGATGGTCGGGGTTATGGGCAGCAGCGTGGAGAAGCCTTTGGGGGGTGAGGCAGGGGCAGGCTTTGGTCTTCGCAACAGGTGGTGGTGGGAGGTGCGATGTGCTTGTGAGAGGAGGCAGGCCACTCTGTGCGGGCACGTGTGTGTGCTTGCGTGAGCGCCAAACCTGGCCGATTTGCTGGTGGTGAAGATGCAAGGGGGCTGCCGTGGAGTTGGGGTCAGGGGCGTGTGGAGGCGTGCCTGTAGCCGTACGGCGGGCGCCTCGCCTTGGGGGGTGCGCGGCCCCTGCATCCGTGTGCGCATCCATGCAGCCAGCTGCTGCGCTCTTGGGGCGCTGCCCGGTCCTCCCTGCAGCTGCTGCCCGCGGGACCTGGCGACTCGACCGCTGACAGATGGCGAGCCGCTGACTGGTGGCGCGACGCAGCCAGGGCAAGGGACAAGCAGGCAGCAGGCACGACAGGTCATGCAGAGGGCTATGGTGGGGCCGCTGCATTACAAGGCCAAGCCAACCACAACGGCTGCCCCTCGGCCCTGTTGGATTGTACAAGCGCCCCAAGCACGCACCGACGCTCCAGACCAGCAGCACCACCAGTATCCGCCACAGGCCGGACCGCCACAGCACGGCGCCCAGGGACGCGTCATCGGCGACGAGCGGCGCTGGACAGGTGGCGCCCAGCCGCGGCGTCGCCGCCTCGGTGTCCCTCGCGGCTTCGCCGCCCATCGTGCTGTAGTGTGGTTGGCGGCTGCGGTCCGTGTTGGCGTCGAAGCAGTAGAAGCTTCTAGGTCAAGCTGGCGCTGAGACCAGTGGCTCTAGCCGTACCACGGCTGCAACTAGCACCACAGAGCCCTCATGCGCATGTGTACTGACGGCGCGTATGCGTGGTGAGCGGGCGCTCGGCGCCTCGGTCCCTCTGACCGCACGAGCAGTATGAATTGCATATCGAGTGAGATCAACGAGTGAGCTGCATCTATACGCACGGCGTCAGCTTCGCAGCAATCGCGCGGGCAATGCAGCCCGTGACAACGCGAATTAGAGTCTGAACACGCCGATGTGTGGTCATATCATCAGAAACCCTTGACATTGTGTATCGCACATCCTCTTCCTCCCACTCGATCAATTCTAAAGTATCGGGTGACCGTGGCCTGGTGACCTACGCCCCCCTTGCGCCTGTGTGCAAGGCACAAGCCTGTTAGGAATCCTGTGAGACATCCGACAACGTGACGCTGCGCAGCAGGCCGTGCGAGCTGCCCCGGCAGGCCCAGCACGGCGTGGCCTACAGGCGGGACCGGGACCGTGCCAGCGTGCTCCTGCGCAGCAGGGCCGACGCCAGGCCAGGTGCACACCGCCATAGCGGCGCCATGCGCCGCGCGCCGCGGCCCGCACAGGCGCCGCGGCTCGCCGCCGCGGCCGTGCTCTTGATGACGCTGGCGGG